ACCACCGGCTTTGCCCTGATGTGAGGTGTTGGTTTTCCTTCCCTAACCGACCCCGATAACTCCCAAGAATGCAGCAACTTCAGTGCAAACCCGAGAGACACCTTATTCCCCTATTTTTTCCCCCAAATATTTAACAGGGGACATGGTGGATGAGTGACCCAGCAGTGACAGGCCATCCCAAAAAGCTGCTTCCATGCTTTTGCCTGAAAATGCCCTATTTATTCTCCAACTTCTTTTGGGAAAATAAGGGTTTCAGGATGTGGCAGCGAGCCGGGAGATGCCGGGGCTGGGGCGGGTGATTAAGGGGCAGAAAATCTTCCCCATCCGGATCAGGGATGCCACAGTCAGGGCTGGCTACAGCCGTATCCTGCGTTCCTGCCCCATCAGGGGCTTTAAAACCTGTTATGCAAAACCCCTGCAGCTATTCCTCTAGGGCAAACGATTGAGGCACTCCCACATCTTGAAGGTATTAAATAGGTGGGTAAATACCCAAACTGTCGGACAAACTGGTGAGAACAGTGTATACTGGAGCAGCAAAACTCAGCTCAGCACAGCCCAGCCCAGCTCAGCCCAACTGGTGGGATGCAAACAGCATCTCCCTAACGCTCCTCTAGCGATGGCTTGCAGGAGCCAGGGAAGTCTAAGAATACAGTTTAATAAAAAATTCCTTTTTCTCTCTGCAAGCCTTATTCTGCGCAATCCTTGTGCGGGAAACCCCCGCCAGTGTTGTGCTAGGCAGTAAGGTTGGGTTTCGTTAAGCCGGCGTTTCCTCGGTTCCCCGCTCTGCACCCAGCTCTGGCACGGCAATGGGAGCCCCTGGAGCGAGGGTGCACCGGCAGCGCTGCCGATGCTGGATTTGGGAAGCCAGGACCCACTGGTCCACCCAGGGATGCTGTGCCTTAGTTTCCCCACCTGTAAAATGGCCTCTGGGGAGGGGGAATGATGGCAGAACATGTTTCCCCATGATGCTGATATCGGTGTTTTCCCCATCCCGTGTTAGATTGAAAAGGCAACCTTAAATTATTTTGCAAACTCATTTTATTTGGTAAAGAAAGGAGGCTCCTGCAGGGCAGTGCTTTGTTTTGACCGGAGCCTTTTTTTGCATGCAATTGCCGGGGAGCAAAAAGGAAGATGAAGGGGTCTCCAGGACTCTCGGTGTCATTTTCCAACTTGGTTGTTTATTGCAGTGAACCCCTTCCCACAGCTCTTTCGGTTTTCAGCATCTTTTTGGGGGGATTTGGGACCATTTCCATGAGGTCCCGTGGGGTGCGGGTTGTGATGCTGGCTGGCGAGGTGCTCTAAGCAAAGCCCTCGGCACAGCGGTGTGGATTCCCGGGCAGATCTCCTTACGGTTCGACTCAGGCACATGTTTTGGGGCCAATTTCGACCCCTCCGACACGGGGATGCTCTCGTTGCAGGTGTCATGTCTCTGCGGCTCCGCGCCATGCCTGCTCTGCGGCTGCTGCCCCTCGGCCAAGAACTCCACTGTCTCCCGCCTCCTCTTCACCTTCTTCCTCTTCCTCGGCACCCTCGTGTCCATCATTATGATAATCCCCGGCGTGGAGAAGGAGCTGCACAAGGTAAATAACTCACAGGGGTTGTTGGGCTCGATTGCTGTGGGGAAGAGGTTTAGCTCGTGGTGGGTATGGGAGGCTGAATCAGAAAGTGAATTTTTGGGTCACGATGTTGCTTCTGTTTCGTTTTTTCCAAGCATCTCGCTAGGAGAGGCTGTTATTAACCCCGGTTTTCCACAGAGGGGACAATGCAGTGGGATAATTTCATGCGTGATCTAGTTTTCCCAGATGTCTCCCAGGAAAGTTTCCTACATCCCATTTTTGGGGGTTCAACTGGCCAAGTGACTTGCAAGTCATGGAGGTGGGACTTCAGATGCAGGGAGCTGAGGTCTCCCAGCCCAGCTAATGCGAAGGCTGGGCCAGACTTTTTGGGAAATGCTGGTTTCATCCCAGCTTTCCACTGCCCCGCAGGGTGCCTTTAGCAGTGTCACCCCACCGCTGTCCTCGAGCAGGCCAACTGCTTGCTTTACGGGTGGCACTGAGCAGTCATGGGCTGGCCCATCTTTGGTGGCACCAGGGCTCGTGGTGGGTGCGGGATGCTGGGGTGATGCTCAGCCTCCCGTCGCCTTTGCAGCTCGCCGGCTTCTGTGAAGGCAGCGGGTCGGTCCTGGGGGTCCAGACCCACATCGACTGCGGCAGCTTCCTGGGCCACAAAGCCGTGTACCGCATGGGCTTCGCCATGGCCGCCTTCTTCTTCCTCTTCGCCGTGATCATGGTGTGCGTGCGCAGCAGCAAGGACCCGCGAGCTGCCGTGCAGAACGGGTGAGCGTTCGTCCCTGGGGGGAGATGCTGGGGTGGGGGCAGACCCCCCCCTTCCTTGCTGGGTTCCCTCTTGCACATCGTGCCTCCTCTCTCCTCCTGCAGCTTCTGGTTCTTCAAGTTCCTGGTGCTGGTGGGGATCACGGTGGGGGCCTTCTACATCCCCGACGGTGCCTTCTCCACAGGTGAGGAGCTGCCCCCGCTCTCCTCTGCATCTCTGGGTTAACCCTCAGCACAGGATTAAACCCGGGGCTGGAGTCGGCATCCCTGCTGCCGTGTGCCCCTGCCATTGGCAAGTTCCCATTATCCCTGCTTTTAACTGTTTTTTCTCTTCCCCTCAAGTCTGGTTTTACTTTGGTGTGGTCGGCTCCTTCCTCTTCATCCTCATCCAGCTCGTCCTCCTCATCGACTTCGCCCACTCCTGGAGCCAGCTGTGGCTGCGCAACGCGGGCGAGAGCAGCGCCAAGGGCTGGTACGCAGGTCGGTATGGCTGGCACCGCAGGGGGTTTAGGGATGGGGACACTCATCCTGGGGCCGGGTGACGCTGAGCTGGCGGGGACTGGGGGCTCTACTCCAACCTCTTTCCTTCTCACGTTCTCCCCCAGCCCTTTGCATCGTCACCTTCATCTTCTACGCCACCTCCATTGCGGCCATAGTGCTGCTCTACGTCTACTACACCAAGCCCGAGGGCTGCACGGAGGGCAAGGTCCTCATCAGCATCAACCTCATCCTCTGCCTCATCGTCTCTGCCGTCTCCATCCTGCCCAAGATCCAGGTGAGGCGACGGGGGGGCACCTGGGAGGCCGGTGGCCGTGTCACCGCGGGG